GGAGTCGGGCTGGGGGCGACCGGGCGGCGGTTTTACCTCCATTTTGAGACCGGACTCGCCTCTTCCAACTCGAGTTCAATATGGGACCGAGAGGTATATTCCTAATTTTAATATTCTACTTTTAAACTAAATATTACGTCGTGAGCATCTGAATATCGCTGAACATTTTTTGGAGTATGGATTTTAATGGGTCTATATTATTCAGTTGTATGAATGAACTAAAATTGATTTAACCATTCTCCCACTTAGGACTTTTTGGTTATACCCAGCATTTACTTTTTAAATAGCAATGTGATGAAAGAGGATGGATATTTTTAAAATAAATTTGTTCTTTTACAAGTAGGACTGATCTGTTCTTTAGGACTTCCGAATTCTCCTGGTTCTCCTTTTCCTCCCTTCTGTGCTCATGAGTTTATACTTTCAAGGATTCATCTTTATCTTTGACCTCAGGTCCTGATTAGGATTTACTGCATATGTGTGCAGAAACACCACAATAAGTGAAACTGAAATTTGCAAGGAGCTCGCACCTTGTTGGACAGTTTTGCATCCGGCCAGCTGATCCTTTACGCTCTCTGAACTTGTGTTACTGTTACTATCATCTGTTCCAGTGCTTTGGAACTTACAAATTACTAGTTGCTTTTTGAAGGATCCAGGCAATCAGAGATCAATGCAAGAATGCAATCATGTTACATCAAGAACCTTTTCCTTGTAAAACATTTGAAACTTTCAAAAGCTCTAAAATATCAGCAAAGTGCTTTGTTATAGAACAGAAAGTGAGTTAACTTCCTATTTTGGCAATAGTCGGTTACCTTTTAGAGGAAATATAACACACACTCAACAAAATTTTCTAAGCTGAAATGAACAACTATTTTCATTTTAATCATCTTACTTGTTATCGACTGGCTGAAGTGAAAGGTATTTCTTTCCTTTTGGAATGGAAAGAGTAACATTACAAATAGTTATTACAACTAAAACTTGGAAGAAATGCTTTCACGGCACAGGACCAAGCATAAATGTATTGTAAATGGTTTCGGGGATTTAATACTATCTCTGTCAAGCATGGCAGAACCTAGTACTAGCACACAGACAGGAGAGTGAGGCGGATGTAATACTGGAGGCCAGGAATTTGAAACCAGCTCAGGAAACAGGGAGACTCTGTCTTAAAACAAAACTGAATCTCTGACACAGTTTTTTTCCCCTCCAATTTAATTTTTCTTGGGTTCGATTACTTTTTCTTTTTTTTTGGCAGAACTGGGGATTGAACTCAGGCTCTTGTGCTTGCCAGGGAAGCGCTTATTCTACTGAGCCATCTCCCCAGCCCAGGATAACTTTTTCTTAAGAATTTCTGATTGCATGTCATCAAATATCCTGATTGCTACATACGGGCAAGATGATCTCAATTACTCTGAGGTAATTATGGAATTATTACTAAGATATGTAAGCAACCTAGGTCTGAGACAGCTAAGGCATGGTTACTTAGAAATGCCTTAAAAAGATGTAGTTGTTTACAGGACACTTGTCAGGCTAGCTGTGAATACTGCCTTAAACTCTATACTCACCAGCTCCTATAATCATTCAGGTTTTTTCAAGCTGGTACATGAATCTTGACAAGCAAGTAACTTCAAGAACTCTGATGCAAACTTCTTTTTTTTTTTTTTTTTTTTTTTTTTTTACAGAACCGGGGATTGAACTGAGACCCTTGTGCTTGCCAGGGAAGCACTTATTCCACTGAGCCATCTCCCTAGCCCTTAATGCAAACTTCTGGTACAATAAAAATCTTAATTAACGTAAGGAGGCTTTGGACCCATCTAGCAGATAGAAAAGGGTACAATAATAATGAAAAATACAGGTCAGGATCTCAGCGTGGCTCACAATTTGTCCGTCCTTCTTTTGTGCCTACATACCTGGGAATACTACAGCTGCGATTTCGGAGGGCACCACCAGAGGGCGCACATCCGAAGCAGCGTGGCCACCAGCCGCGTCTCGGGGTACTCTCTATTCTCTTCTCGCTGCCCTTGACTTCCGCCGGAAGCGCCACTTTGTTAGTTGGTGTCCTCGGTTGTTTGTGTTTGTGGTTTATTGTGCCCGCTGCTGTTCGGAGGAGCCGACGAGGGGGCGCGGGCTGAACCGGACGGCGAGATGGACATTCTAAAGTCAGAGATTCTCCGGAAGCGGCAGCTGGTGGAGGACAGGAACCTGCTGGTGGTGAGGAGCTCTGCGGCCGAGCTTGGGGGGCGCTGGGATGAGGGGGTGAGGGTGCCGACGGAGCTGGGGCTGGGGGCGCGCCGCTGTCATCTCTTGTGCGTCCAGCCGACCGCGAAGGGCGGTCTCGAAAGTCCTCCGAGTTCTTTCCTGTATAGTACGACTCGGTCTTTGTATTCTGTTTCCTCGGAAGGCTGAGATTTTTGGAGAGGTACAAAAAAGATACGAGAAGGTTGACGTCCTCCGCCTTGTTGCCTAAGAGTAACTGGCCGCTAGTTTTTTTTTTCTTTATGTATTCGATACAAGGTCTCCCTGCGCAGCTCGGACTCGTAGCGATACTCCTGTTTTCAGCCTCCGCAGCACTGGGATTCCCGGCGTTCGCCACCACGCCGCCACTCAGTGGCCGGCTCAGCGGGCCAGCGCGGTATGTGGTGCTGGGGATCGAACCCCGGACCCAGAGCTTGCCTAAGCAGGCGCCTAGTCCGCTGAGCTGTCTTGCCAGCCCGAGACTGCCGGTTCTTAATGCCATTGGGCTTAGGAGCCTTTGATATTCTTAAAAGTTATTCAGGATCCCAAAGGTATTTTGTTCATGGGTTATACATCTCTTACATCAGTTTACCTATTAGAAGATAAATTGAGAAGCCAAAAATATTTATGGATACACGGATTGCTTGAGAAGTAATTGCCTCAGTGTGTTATGTAGGTCTCTCAATAGTAGATTCGTTTCATTACAAAATGTTTTAAAAACAGTATTACTTATTATCTACTGATTTCATGAAGTTTCTGCGATTGTTCTGTAAGCATGAGGAAACTCGAACTCGTGGCGGTAGAGCCAAGTTCTTCAAAGCTGGGATTTTGTATCATAAGCCACAGATGCAGTCAGTTCTTGTCCCGTAGTGGTAGGCTCACAGTGCTCAGTTTTGGAAACTTCGTCTGACAGATAGTCAAGTCTGGCTAACTATAGTTTATCAGTGTTTGCTTATGACAAAGAGATACTTAGAAAGCAGTGTGAGCAACTCAGTCGCGCAGTTGTTTTCCTTCGGACAGCCATCATGCTTTAGTATTGATGAAAAATGCTGTATGTATGCTTTACTTTTGTCACACAAGACGTTAGAAAGATGCAGCCCAAGACTGAAACTAGGTAAAATTTGTAATTTTATTGTAGGTTGAGGACCCCTGCTCCAAAAATGTAAAATTTGGAATGCTCCAGAATCCAAAACTTTTTGAGTGCGAACATGATGCCACAAGTAGAAAAGTCCACCCCGATCTCAGTGGAATTTTCAGAAGGTTACAACAATGAAAGTTCTGTACAAAATTACCGTCAAGTGCTGTGGATAAAGTATATATGAAATGTATGAATTTTGTGTTTAAAGTTGGGTGCTAGCCCTCTGATACCTGCTTTTGTTTGTGCAAATGTTCCAGAATAAAAAGAACTTGAAACTCAAAACACCTCCATGCCAAGCATTTTGCGTAAGGGATGCTCAGCCTGTACTTCATCAGGGAAATTATTAAGTGACAGGTGCAATGACAGTTTAGTGCCACTGTCTTGGTTCTTGCTAAGGCTTTGGCATATTGAACCCATCCCTTTTTGCAAATGTCAGTAAAATGAGTAGGCAGGAACTACAGTACCTTAGTATTGAAATAGTTTTGGCCTCATGGGTCCTCTGAAAACGTCTTAAAGGATCTATAGAAATCTGTGGGCAACATTTTGATATTATCGAACTTAGACCTTTGCATATAGTATATTATTAATGTATATGATGTAAGTTAGAGTTATTTTGTTGGATGACAAATTTCATAATTGTTGAAACCTTAAGAACAATTAGGAAAGTAGAGTTAATTAACTAGAAGGTTGTTCAGCTGGCACTGTGTGTGTTGCAAGGGGGACTTTGCCCATATTTTTAACTTAATGCTTTTATTTTATCTCAGAAACTGTTTTCTTTGGATGAATGGCTTTGTAATCTGTTTAAAAGCTAATATATGTGTTGAAATGCATTGTCAGTGTTAGAAAGGGCCAGGATGCTGAAGTCTAAGTACTTTAAAGGGAAAATTGCCTTGCAAAATACTTAGTTTATTATTGGGCTTTATAAGGTACACATTTTTATAACCGGTATTTGTTATGGAAATAGGCCAACCTATAAAAATGATCAAGTATTTCAAAATTTTGGTTCCTCATGATTTATAATCATACATAATCTTTTCCTGGGGCATCTTTCATTTTTTTAATTTGGTAGTTGGTTTACTAAGATAATCCAGCCAGAAGATAAGATTGATTTTTCTGCCTGACTTGGAGGTGGTACGGATTGGCGCGTCAGGCGAAGGAGGAAGAACCGAAAGATTAGATTGTAAAAAAAGAAAACAGGAGCCATGCTTTTTTGAAGACCTGTGTTACAGGTGCTCCGTCAATTTGTAAGACGTGAGTCTGAAGTGGCCAGCAGTTTAGTTCTCGAAAGATCACTGAATCGTGTGCAGTTGCTTGGGCGAGTGGGTCAGGACCCTGTCATGAGACAGGTGGAAGGAAAAAATCCAGTCACCATATTTTCTCTAGCAACAAATGAGATGTGGAAGTCAGGGGACAATGAAACGTATCAGATTGGTGATGTCAGTCAAAAGACAACATGGCACCGAATATCAGTGTTTCGGCCAGGTCTTAGAGATGTAGCATATCAGTATGTGAAGAAGGGGTCTCGAGTTTTCGTGGAAGGAAAAGTAGATTATGGTGAATACATGGATAAAAACAATGTGAGGCGACAAGCAACAACAATCATAGCAGACAACATTATCTTTTTGAGTGACCAGACAAAAGAAAAAGAATGAACAGACGATTCTTGGGCCATTGTTGGACTTGAAGGTTTTTTCCAGAACTCTCAGGGTGGGAAGAAGCCCCCAACCCCCGCTTTCTTAGTGCTGAGCATGGACCCAGGGTCTTGGGTGTGCTAGGCCAACACTTTATCACTGGGTTACACCCCAATCCAAAGGTTCTCTTAGTACCTTTGATAATACTTCCTAGAGCCTCAGGTATTGCGTTTTCCTTTTATTTTTTGCTGTAGTACTAATAATTACTAATAAAGATTATATAAATTCAAAAAAAAAGATTGATTTTTCTGAATTATAAGGCAGTTTAGACCAACTAAGGACATACATGAAATGGGAATTAAAAGACTGAAATCCATAGCATCTATTAAAAGTAAACTTCCATGGTCCACAGAGATAGCTCAGTAGAGTAAGCTCCTGCCTGGCAAGTGCAAGGTCCTGAGTTCAATCCCTGGTACTGCACACACACAAATCCTCCAGATGTTGTGCAGTGTCTAATTTTAGTCCCTAAAGCACCTTCATAAAAGTATGGTTAGTATTCTAAAGTGAAAAAACTTTTATTTTTTTCTTTTTTAGGGAAGGGGCTCCAGGCTGTACAGGGTCTCACTACTAGATCAGACTTGTAGTGATCTACCTATTTACAGCCTCCCAAGTGCTGGGATTATAGGCACATGCCACCACGCCCACTCTCAATTGCCAGCACAGCAGGCCCAGGGATCAAATCCCCAGCCCCTGCACCTGTTTGCAGGTGCTTTAAACCACTGAGCTATTTGGTCTATCATGATTTTTATTTGTTTATTTTTCTTGAGTCCTTTCATTTTCAAAAAATTAAAAATGAAAATATCCATTTGAAAACTAAAGTATCCTTCTATCACCTATGGTATAACTACTCTGAAATAAAAGCAGTGTCAGCTTTGCTAGAACGCCAATTCTTTGGAGCCCCATATTACTGAATCTTTCTTTAAAGCCAAGCCTCCTTCATGTAAACATGAAAACCCTGGCTGCTCTAGGAACTCAGTGAGGAGTGAGTATTAATGGTAGGTAGTTGCAGTTTTACTAGTTGTAGGTACAAGGATGAGTTTTTTGGAGAATTTTGACTTGCCTATCCAATTTATTGAGTGTTTTCTATGTGCAAGATACTACACTATGCCACAGAACATTAAAAAGAGATGTTCAATCCTTAAGGAACATGCATTCAGTTTTACAGAGAAAATAGAATCCAACAAGTATGGAATTCCTTAACTCTTTCTCTCTTAAAACAGATGAGATAACAATTATATCTTCGGTAAAACCTTACATCTACAATTTGGATCCCAGCACATCTTTTTCAAAAGCATCACCAGGAACCTTAGGATCAGTTGTTCTTTTCTCCTTGTGTTTTCAGTCTCTACTGGCTTATCCCATCAGCGTGGAAGGCATATAAGTACCTTTCCTATTTTTAAAAAGTGTGTGTGTGTCTGTCTGTCTGTCTGTGAGTTTACCATCCCTTTTCTTTTTAGCCAGCTTCTAAAGTGATTTCTCCTTAATCTGCTGCAGTCTGGCTTCTACCTCCGTTATTCTACTAAACCAGCTCTACTCAGGGACACAAGCAACCTCCACGGCTGCAGCTGACTTAACCTGACAGTTTGACACTGTTCACAATCTTGTTTACTCTTTCCTTGGCATCTTGTATACCACAGCTTCCTGGTTTTTTTTCTGCTTCTCAGGGTGCTTATTCTTGTTCTCCTTTATAGACTTCTGCTGCCTTGTTTTTCCCATAAAATGTTATTTACTTTACCATTCAGTCCTAGTCATTTTCTTTTCACCTTTTTTTTCCATTTATGTATTTGGTATGCAGCTCAGACTCACAGTGATCCTCCAGTTTTTAGCCTTCCCAATGCTGGGATTACAGGTGTCTGCCACTATACCCTGACTCATTCACTGGTTCAGCACACCCTGGGGGCCAGCCTGGCATGGCATGTGGGGCTGGGAATCGAACCCTGGTCTCTGAGCTCACCAAAGCAGGCTCTTAGTCTGCTGAGCTATCTTGCTGGCTTTTTTGTCTTTAAAAATTGTATATTTTTATTATAACCAGTTACCATTTTTGTTGGGAACATAAATAGAGCCTTTGGATGGATACCAGAATATCTATCCACTCCTTGAAGTTTTTTATGTGAAATTTAGCATGTTTGTATAGAGGACTTCACTGTTTATGATGTTATTGGATTTTAGATTCAAAGAGGGCCAAAAATAATCATGTCTACCCTGGTGCTTGCCAAGTCTCTGTATAATTATTTTCTCAGTGTTCCAGTCCTAAGGAATCTTTTTCATCTTTTTAGTTCTTTGAACTTCCCTTTTTTCATGTGTGTTTATCCCTTGGGACAGTAACCTACATGTAATTTTCTCCATTTCCTGTCTCTGGTAGTCAATAAGAATGCTTTAAAAGTTTTTTTTTTTTTTTTTTTTTTTTTTTACCATAATAGGGAAGAAACCTGTTTTAGGGAGCTTTTTGCTGTGTTTGATACCATTTTTTGACATCTGCTGTAGTTTTTTTCCTTAATATTTTACTGTGAAATTTTTTAAACACATGTAAGATTTAAAAGAACTCAGAGGAAAGTGATTGACAATGTATAGTGTGCTGAAGGAGAGTCACCTAGAGAAAAAAAAATCTCTCAGGCTTTTACAGAGAACAAATTGGTCAGGCAAGGCCATGACTCATCCAGATAGGTGACACTAACAGAAGATCTAAGGTGCTGTACATGGTTCCAGGGTAAATCCTGAGGGGATTTGACTGACCCTGTCAGATAGCAAATGTTACATGTTTAGTTGTATCGATCTTGCTTTACTTGGTCTTACCCTCCAACAGAAAAGTGTAACCACAAGATATAAAAAATAAAGCTATATATTAATATGCTGAGCTATAGAAGGCTCAAGTCAACAACTTCTCACAATTGCCAGATGTGCTGATAACTCATTACTATTAAGGATTATTGGTCTATATTGGGTTATTTTGCTGAATTCAAGTACCTACAATCTTTGGATTGGCATCAAGTATGAAAAGGTCCTTTAAAGACTTCTCCAAATACAGCTTCTCTAACTGCAATGGAACACGCAACTCTGACAAAACAAAACAAAAAAGGGGAATATGTTGGGAGCCGTGGAAGCTAAGAAAACGATTAAAATGTGTAGTTGAGACTAGACCTCAGTGCCTAAAGCAAGCAAGCTACCTCAGTCCTGAGATAAACATCCTGTCTGGTTAAAGTCAGCTATTAGTCTGTAGGAAACCTTGTGTCACATGTTACTAACTGTGCAAAAGCATAAATAAAATGCTGTTTTGTTGTGAAAAATATATATATGTATACACAAGATAGTTAGGATAGATGTACAGCTAGTTTTTCTTAGTTCATTGAGGAGAAAGGTTTGTACTAATATTGTTTAGACAAGATACCATGTCTACATCTTGTTCTCCGAGTACTATGAAGACAACAATATGCAATGTATTAATTGTTCTAACTGTCCTACTAACCTACTTTGAAATTGTTTCATTGCTATTTTATATTTTTTCTCATTAAAATGAATAATAATAATAATGATGGAACTCAGGACCTTGCACTTGCCAGGCAGGCACTTGTGCCCCAGGCCCAGGAACAAGTCTTATGCTTTCATTTTTATTTGAATTGCTGATTATAGAGCTCATGTATGGAGTTTCCTAAAGTTTCCCACCTGTTTTCTAGTGCGGCTGTACCCTGTTACACATCTGCCAGTGATGCAAGTCAGCTTGCTCTGCATTCTTGGCAGGGATTTCTGTCCTCATTCTTTGTACTGGGTAGATATCTCATTGTAGTTCAAAGTTGCATCTTGCTGATAATAAATGAGATTAATAAGCACTTTTCCTGTCTTTCATGGCTATTTGTGTATCTTTGTGAACTGTTAACATTAGTTAGTTGCTTTTTGTTTATTAAGTTGAGGGAAATCTTTGTATATCTTGCAATCTAGTGTTTAGCCAGATTCGTGTTTTGTGACTGATCTTCCAGATGATGGGTTATCTGTTTATTTTCTTCATAGTTGTGTTTTGGAGAGCAGTGTTTAATTTTTGACCAAGCTGTCTTTGTCAGTTTTTTATGATCAGGATTTTATGTGTTCTGTTTGGGAATTTCAAATATAGGATATAAACAGTTGGAAACAGTTTGGTGGTTTCTTAAAAGTTAAGCCAAATCCTACCGTATGATTGGCCTCTCTACACTTGAGTAGATTACAAAGATTTTTTTTTACATTATCTTCTGAAAATTTGCTTTTTTATAAATAATAGGGAGTATAAACATTTTAGGTTTTTAATTTGATATGGGGTATAGCTTATAGTTGAAAAGTCAGATAATGAAAACAATACCACTACTACTACTACTATATATTATTTTTCTCCCCTCTCTTATTCTCTGTTTTTTGGAAGTTTTGAACATAGACAAAAATAGAATTGTATAATGAACACCTGCGTACCTTTCCCTTAACACATATAATGCTAAAATGAGATATTTTGTATTACTGAAGTATTCTCACACCCAACAAAGCTGAACTTACTTTGGTAATCTCGTCAAGTTCACATTCCAGTATCCTTGAATTAAAATATATGTGTATATGTATTTTTATGCTTGTTCAGATAAAATATGACTTTGATTTTTGTTTTTTGTAGTGGAGAGCATTTTCATTCCTGCATCTCTTCTTTTTTTCCTCTGTAATTTACTTGAAGAATTGGAAACTAGTTTTGTACAACAATCTAGTTTTGTTGATTACTGTCTGTTGTTATTTAGCTTATTCCCCGGTCCAGTGGTGGCACACCTATGGCCTGTGTGCCACAGGAGGATGTTTGTGTCATTGAAAGCTAAAATGTTCACCATAACTTCCCTTGCCCCTCCCTTTAGGAAGAAGAGTACTTCCTGTAGCATCACATAGGGCTATTTTACCTTGTACTAATGCCAACCTTGATCTGTGGGCTTAAGTGTTGGCAACCTGAGCTTTCCCTTGTCACTGTCAAACCTTTCTTCTAATAGTGCTAGCATTCACAGATGATCATTTCCTGCGTAAATGAGCTTTGGAGCCATGAGGTGCTTTTAATAGAGTACATGTAGCTGGATGAGGTGGCACACACCTGTAATCCCAGCTCTTGGGAGGTTGAGTCAGGAGAATCTCTTTGAGTTTAAGGCCAGTGTAGGCCAAACAGTGAGTTCAAGTCCATCTGAAGTATATAGGAAGACCCTGTCCTCCCCTCCCAAAGTACCAGTGTACAGGTATTATCAAGGCTCTGCTATAATCACAATAAAGTAGGGCAGTATCTGTTTTTGATCAAAATTCTCAATGGAATAATATTTCAGAGCCCGGGAGATGGCTCAGTAGGATAAACGCTTGACTGGCAAACTCAAGGATCTGAGTTCAATCCCCGGTTCTGCCAAAAAATAAAATAAAATAAAATCACTTGATAGTCTTCTCTTAAAAAATAATAGTAATAATATTTCAGAGGTAAAATTACAGATAGTAACAAGCTTATAGATTGTACATTTCATAGTGAGGTTATATGAAGAACTAACAGCTTTTTAGCCATAGTAGATTTAGAGCTCTTAGCATCAAATCATATATGCTAAGACTGCAGGTGACAAAAAAGAATTTAGATGTACTCTTAGAGCACTTTTATTAATGAGATATCAAGAGGTTGGCAATGTATACTGTAGTTTCTTTTTGTTTTATGTTAAGAGAGAATTAAAGCATAGCAATTTATGAATCATAATCCATTTATAGAAATTATATTTGAGCTTGGACATTAGGAAATTAAAAAACAAGCATTTGAGAAATACTGTGTTGGCTTCTTTTCATTGCTCTTGGACACAGCTACTGGAGCAAATGGTTTAAGAAAAGTACACAGTAGGAGGTTCCAGCCCCTGGCAGCCTGGAGCCAGGGTGCTTATTCTGTGTTCACTTGGGTGGGAAGCAACCACTGTCTCCCTCTGCTGCCCCCACCCTAACTCTGCTTTGAGTACAGAGCCAGTCCCCTAGAGGGGAGGGAACAACTGGAGTGCTTTAGGGCTGGGGAGCCTGAGACCTGCTCCTTCCCCAGCACCATGGGCAGAGCAGGATGGGCGGCTGATGGTGGGGCTTTGCATCAGAGGTCTGCACAAGGCCATCTCTGGCTGTAACCAAGTAGTTGGGTCTGTAGCCTGCTCCGGGCCCCACAGAAGGTCTGTGGACAGGCAGTGTGCCTGTTTCCTTTGTTCCTTGGCTTCTTTACACATGAGAGCCCACACACTGGAGGATGGGTGTCCTGTCTAAGAGACTTGAGTGACCATTTTTGGAACCAAGAAGCATCAAGTTCTTAAAAAACTCAAAAGTGATTCTAAAAGCACTTGATACTGTGGAACGTGGAAATTTTCTCAATGATAGATTAACTTGTTTTTCTTTAATAGGAGAATAAAAAATATTTCAAACGTAGTGAACTTGCAAAAAAAGAAGAGGAAGCATATTTTGAAAGATGTGGCTATAAGGTATGAATGACAGCTTTTATGTTGAATTTTATTTTTATGAGTTTAATTTTATGTAGCTGTTATTAAAGAACAAAATTATTGATCTGTGTTCAATTTATCAATGTTATATATTAGCCTATAAGTGAGAAGCCATCTGGAGAGGTATGAGTTTTTGTTTTTGCTTTTTTAAAAAATAATTTTTTGAATTCAGGAAAATATATGCATGACTTTCGGCTTGGAATGGTTTGGCTTTTGTGGACAGCATGAAGTGGCTTGAGATGAAAGCTTGAATTTTTTTTAATATATATATATATAAGTACTGGATATGATACTGTCTTATTTTATCTGCTCCACTCCTCCTTGCCCTCACCTCTCCCAATAAAACTGTTTCCAAAGAATTCAAAACATTTTTTTAGGGATAGTTCAACCGCAGCGATGTCAGCAATGGTAGCTCTTTCCCTGCTTTCTCCTGAATATTTAAAGACATGATTTTGTGTTTTACATTGTTAATAATTTCATCTGGGCCCTAACAAAGTAGTTCTGCACATACCCCACAGACATTTTTGTTATAAGGTGCACTATTTCAGATACTGCTCTGTCTACAGGATAGGAGATGTAATTGTGAGATACTGTTTTGAAACAAATGAGATATCTGAAAAGCTTTGCTTGTATATTTTAGAAACATAAAGTATTTTGAGGTCAACTAGTTGATATACTGGGTGTTTTATTGGAAGGGGTTAAAGATGACAAGGTGGAGAAGTTCCATTTAAGTCATTTTAAAAGAAGAGGAGTTGAATAATTTTAACTCACAGTTAAGAGGTTCTTTTGAAATACTTTTTCTAACTCAAATTTGAAATTAACATTTTGCTTGTGAGAGGTCACTCAATATAAAGTAATATTCCTGTGCATGTAACAGGGAAAATTGTGGAATTTATGTGACAGCATTTCTAAGGAAGCATGAGGAATGCAAATGGTGCACATATGCATTTGGCTTTGTAGTATTGGGTAAGGCAAGACTTAAAGAAAATGTAGTTATACTTTTGATAGGCTTTTTAAATAGGAAAGTTTGAATTTATGTACTTCGATGTTTTTCCATGAAGATGCTGATTTCATTGGCTTCTAGTCCAGGAAATTAAAATACATTTATATAAATGATCAGTGGGTAGATATTTAGAAAGTTTATTTTTTCCCAGTTCCTTTGTCTATTATTTCCCAGTTTAGTTCTTGTATCATTTTTCTTAGTTTGTCTAGTGGTAGAAATAATTGTGTGTGTGTGTGTGTGTCAGAGAGAGAGAGAGAGAGAGACAGAGAGAGAGAGAGAGAGAGAGAGAGACAGACAGACAGACAGACAGACAGAAACAGAGACACACACAGATACAGAGACAGAGGATTGAACCAGGGAGTGCTGAGGTACATCCCAGTCCTTTTTATTTAATCTTGAGAATAGTTTTGTTATGTTGCCCAGCAGGCCTTGAACTTGCAATCCTTCTGCCATAGCCTCTTGTGTAGCTGAGATTACAGGTGTGTGCCACTGCTCCCTGCGAGAATTCTAATTTTTTGCTCTCCCAATATTGTCTAGCTCAGGCTTGACCTAGAATAAGAATCATTACCATAAGTAAGTCAGTTGACTTATTTTTAGATCTCTAAATTTGAATCTTTTCAACTTTTTGATAAGGTAGGAAAATGTAGCATAGGATCAGTTTTTACTATGTTTACTGTCTGGTGATATAAGGGGCCCTTTTTGCTTATATGAAGGAATGCGCTGGACCAAGTTAATGACTGTGATAATATTGTTTGGAACTTTGAGTCCCACTGACAGAGTCTCTTAGATCTTTTCCCCAGAGACATTAACTACCTTTATACAATTAAAAATGCTTTCTTCTTGAAGTTTTGGGGCAGTAACCTGTGCATATGTGCTTAGAAATGAACCACAGGTGTTTCTTTCTAAAAATGTTTTTAGTACTTCTTTCCTGGTGGCAGTGATGATGTACTATGCATTGCTTTTATGCCTTTATTGTTACTAGTTACACTTTTTAAGGCTTGGTGCTGATTTGACTTATGGAAAATCAAAAATCTCCCTGATGTTACCTCAGTGTCAATTGGTTATGATAAATGTGACCATTAAACATATAGAATCATGAGTTGTATAATTTTTACCCTGTAGTTACTTTAAGTGCATGTATTTGTCTTGATGTTGACCTTTAATGTTCCTTTGACTGTTACCTTCCTGCAGCATTTAGAATTTGCCTTGGGTAGATGAAAAACAACTCAGTATCTTTTTATAGACTACACACTGGCTTTATACATGGCAACTTGGTCAGAAGATTTGAGAAAATGTATGAACTTCTCTCCCCCACCCCCTCAGGTTTATATGGCAAGAACGCCTGCTCTTTCCTTGGGTGGGTTGCGTAGAGAGAACATTTTCCATTATTTTGCTATAAGATTTGTAGCTCAGTTTGTGGGCCAGCTCTGCATACCATTGGGATTTTTTTTCACTTGTCCAGTAGTCACTTCTCTACCATTGCAGTATCTTTCAAAACGAAAAAGAGGGAAAAACTAGAGCTTAAAGCTTCATAGACTTTTTTTGGAAAGCAATTATTTTCTTTAGTTCTCCTATTAAAGCTGAGAAACAATTCAATAAGACAATTTCTCAAAAAGGAGAAGCAAATTATTTTAAGGAAAAGACTATACACTTTTAGAGTCTGGGCAGAAAGTGAGTGAGAAATCAGCATTTTTGAGTTTTGAATTTGGAAACCAGTACAGTTATATCACTCTTTTATAGCAAGAACTCTGCCTTATATGTGCATGCTTTCTACTTGTGATGCTCCTCAAGTGGATGTTCGATACACTCTTTAAGAGCATGTCCATTTATTAGGAGCTCTTTCCTCAGGACTGTTTAGAAAACCTTCTGTATTTTAATGTGCTTAATTTCCACAATAACTAAGGTGATAGAATGATAAATGTTAACTCTGTCTTTATAAGCTGAATTTTACTTATTTTGGGTATTAATATAGATACAGCCCAAAGAGGAGGACCAGAAACCACTAGCTTCATCAAATCCAGTATTAGAACTTGAACTGGCAGAAGAAAAATTACCCATGACTCTTTCTAGGCAAGAGGTAAGCTTACATACGAGTATTTTGTGGGAGGAAAGAAAAATTTCAGTATATAATTGATGTCATTATTTCCTGTGGAAGGTACCCTGTGCACCTAACACAGTTTTCTTCATGGCATTCTACATTAATCTCTGCTTCTTTGCTTCATAGTGTTATCTTACTTTTCAGAAAGAATATGTCATAAACCATAATAAGCATATATGACATAAATAAATATTAAATTCATGTATTCTAAATAATTATAAATTATTATAGCTAGATTATTTTAAGTCATATTTTGCTACTTTCATCATCTTTATTTATACATTTTTCCAGATTAACGCAGCTGCATACCTTTTGGTGGTGTGTAATTTTCTGTTGTGCTGTTGTGTGCTTGCACCTTAATATTTATACAACCATTTCTTTCTTAATGGTTAAGATTACTTCAGCATTTCACTGTTACAGATAGTAATCCGACCAGCTTCTGTGCCCACCAGTGGTGTTTGCTTGCATCCTCACCAATATCAATTGGTGCTTAAAAATTAAGATAGTCATGTGCTAAGAAGAACTCGAATTGTACAGAAGAGTATAAAACAGAAACATCTGTGCTCCTGCTGCTCATCTGCCCTGCACGCTTCCCTGTATCTCTGCCTTTAATGCTCTCTTCACCCTGCTGTTCCGTCTTTTAATTTTATTTATTTGTGTGTGTGTGTGTGTGTGTGTGTGTGGCCAGCTCAGCCCATCAGGGGGGGGGGCTGGCTGGCATGTGGTGTTGGGGGATTGAACCGTGGTCCCTGTGCTCTGCTAAGCTTGTTCTAAGTAGGTGCTTTAGACCACTGAGCCATCTCACCAGCCCTGCTGTTCCGTCTTATCATTGTGCAGGTATATGTGCTGGCTTCCTTCTCACTAATGAGACCTGGCTCTTTTCACTTAAAACTCCAGTTCTTTGAAGACCATTTTGTATTGGAGATGTGTGTATTTGTACCACATATGAAAAATTTACCCAGAAATGTGTGACTTTGGGCAAGTTACTCCTCCTTTCTAGTTCCTGATTTCCTTTTATGGAATGGGGAGAATAACAGGGTCTACCTCATAAGATTTTTATGATTACATGAGGAAATATATGAAGGTAATACATAAAAAGAGAATGGTACTCAGTAGTACATGATTTTCATAACTCAGTTTAAGTTAACTGTATTAAAAGCGCCTACTTTTATGCAATGTTTGAAGGAACTAATTGCACAAATTTTTCCTCTTTCCCTTTTGTCCTCCCTCCAGGTTTGTCTGTTTGTCTGTCTCATTCTGTCTCTCTGTTTCAGTTCTTTTAATTTTTGATTGACTCTCTCAATTTATCATCCTTAGTCTTTGTGTACATGCTCAGTTGTGGTTAGGAATGCATGTTAATACTAGGAGTAGGGTGTCTAGATCAAAAGGCAGGGCTCTTGTACTTCTTGCAGATCAACACGCTCATAGTGTTACTTTTTAGCTGTATGTTCCACATTTTTAGGATGGATGTTGCTCAAGAAGAACCCTTTCAGAGGAAAGATAACTGACTGAAGCTGCAGTGTGAAAATTAGGTGAAGGAATTTGGAATACCTAGGCTGAAAAGAAGAATTACAGATATTTTTAAAAAGCTCATTGAAGACAGCCCTAATTTTGGGAAAGCATTCAGTAGTCTCTGTGCTGACACAGAATAGAAGGAAAAAAGGACAGAAATCACAGCAATGATTCTCAATTTCTCAGTGATTCTCTTGAGGGGCCGGGGTGATAGCTCGGTAGAATAAGCACTTGCCTGGCAAGCGCAAGGGTCAGAATTCAATCCCTGGTTCCACCCCCCCCCCCAAAAAAAAAAAATCAGCATTGAGAAGCCACACATACCTGTCCAGAATGGGATGGGTGTTTCATGAAGAGGTGTAGTACTGTTATTTATCAGCCAGGGACTTGACAGTGACATTTTGAGGTCATTTCTACATTGATAGGAAGTAGTGCTAAATGACTTTCTAAATTTTTCTTAATCCAAGGGTATTAATCCAAGGGGGATTAGTTCAAGGGGGCAGACCTTCCAGATAAGTTAATATTTTTTGATAAGTTATTATTTATAAAATTTGGGATCTACCTTCATTTTCATAATTATATTTTTGTTTCTTCTCTTTAAAAAATATAACATACATAAGAAGTATATAAAACACAGTAGTATAATGGGTAGTTATAAAACAGATACCCTTGCAGCCATCACCTAAACCGTGAAATCCATTCCATACCCCAGGAGCCTTGCAGAGGGCCCACTTCATTATAACTCAGCTCTCCTCTGAGGCATGAGGTTTAAATTTCACTGTACTACTACAGTGCTTGCTCTTCAGTATAATCATGGAGTTACGAGCTGACTCCAGATTTTATTTTCGTTCTTTAAATACATGCTCTCCTTTACCTTAGTGTTGTTATTCCTGCATATTCTGCTGCACAGATTGCCCTATCTGAAGCGAACAGCCCAAGAACCAGAAGAGTTAAGGTTACTTAGATGTGATTACAACATACTGTACCTGTTTATGGAAAATTAGGAAAAACCAAACAGTATTACTTTTAGCATCAACATTTCAAGACAAATATTTGGTCACCTAAAATAATGTTTTAGTGTAAGGGCTAACTTTTCTTTGTTGTGCTTTTTAAAAAAGAGACTAAGGAATCATACTTACATAAAATAAGTACTCTTCTCTTACATTTTTTTTTTTTTTTTTTTTTTGTTCCAGGGATCAAGCTCCACTCTTGCAATCCTATAAGTAACGTCTTTTGTGCTCACATATGTCTTACAAAACATAGAAGGCGACCATTACGGGCTTGCCTTAGCTTTGAATCACAGATCCATGTCAGAGTGCTTTTAATAATGAAATTTGTTCCAGTGACATCCGAGTCAAACTACTTTCTTTAAAATAAGTGAATTTTTTTTTAAAAAAGTGAATTTTTATTTTATTTATTTTTGTGGCCTGCTCAGCCTACCCTGGGGGTGGGGCTGGTGCTGCATGTGGTGCCAGGGATTTAACCATGGTCCCTGTGCTTGCCTAAACGTGCCTAATCAAGTGCTTCAGACTGCTGAGCTATCGCCCTGTCCCCTCAAAATAGACTTTTAACTAAAATATTTTTTTCATTCAGGGACATCTTTGTTTAGCTTAATTGAAATGATTAAATATTTGAAGGATTTTAGGTTTCACTTAGAAGGATATATTTAAATAATTCATTTTTTAAAAAATCCATTCTTCAGTTTTAAGATTAAAATATGCAAACTATTTTAAGATGTTTAGATTTTTCCTCTTCAAAAATTAAATAATTTGTTGGATATTTGTTTCTCTTTATAGGTAATCAGAAGATTGAGAGAAAGAGGAGAACCAGTTAGGCTATTTGGTGAAACTGATTATGATGCTTTTCAACGATTAAGAAAAATAGAAATCCTCACACCAGAAGTTAACAAGGTAAGAAGTTAAACCAGAACTAGAAAAATTCATGGAAAGACATAAACTAGAATAGCTTGGAATTTGACTGCTGGTATTATTAGAGGCAAAAATGGAATAGTTACTGCTGCTAAAGGTAAGATTTATATAATTTAAGAAAAAAAATATATCTTAATCATACAGTTTAGTAAATTTTGACAAATGTGTACACCACCCTTATCAAGATACACAAGGTTCTCATTACGTAAGCCCCTAGGGGCCCTTGTTGGCCAGTTCTCCTATTCCTCCTTTACCCCTCAGCAGCCACCATTTTGAATTCTGTCACCATCGATGAATTTGGCTGGTACTAGTAATTCAAGTTAATGTACACAGTGTGCATGTGGTTTCTTTTGCTCAACAACTTTTTAGTTTTATCTGTGCTGTTGCGGATGTCACAAAACATGTTTTGTTTGCTAGCTTGCTCTACTGACTGCTTGCCTTATTGGGCAGACTGCCTTACTGCTTCACTTCTTGCTGTTCCACTGCCAGCAGTGAAAGTTGCCTGAACACTTTCAGTCCTCCGCATGTGCAGCGATCCCTTTCCTGTGCCCACGATTCCCTCTCCTGTGCCTGGTTGCAGTCTGTTCTTACCCTGTCAGATACAATTCAGTGATTCACAATCTCATCACGCCATGGTCCTGATCAGAATTACTTCTTCTTTTTCTGTACACCTTTTATAAATTTATATGTGCATATTCATCTTGTCTTGGTAGGCTGGGGCTATTTTGTTCTTCTATGTTGAGTTTAGTGCTTTGCATAAAAGTACGTCACAAAGGTCGGGGAGATGGCTCAGTAGAGTAAGTGCTTCCCCGGCAAGCACAAGGGCCTGAGTTCAATCCCCGGTTCCACCAAAAACAAAAGCAAAAAATAAATAAATAAAGCAAAGCAAAACAACACCAAAAACAAAAGCAAAAAATAAATAAATAAATAAATAAATAAATAAATAAATAAAATAAAAGTATGTCACCAAAAGGCCTGGATTTCATTCTAGGATTGTAAGTGTTAATTACGTGATTACTAACAGGTCTTTTATCCACTTGCACTGTAGAAACTGCATTTGTGAAATAGAGGTAGTGGCGTTTGCTCACTGGGATGTTGTGAGGATGAAGTGGAATATTCTTGGGGAGCCCCTAGCCTCACACATTATACATAGCAAGTACTTCAGTAAGTGTTTGGTCAGTTCAAGCTGTTTTGAGTTGCATGTTTATAAAAGAACAACAAATGACCAGGTGATCTTAACATAATGTTAAGTGTTAATATTTGTTGAGTGTTGATTATACTTCAGTGACTTCTGAAAATGTGCTCTACATATATTAACACACTTAAATGACATATTTTTAAGGCTTTTGAAACACTTCTAATATATAGTAATTTTTTTTTTTTGGCTTTTTGAGAGAGTCTTACAATGAAGTTCAGGCTGGCCTTGAGCTCACTTTGTGGCCTAGGCTGGTCTTGAACTTGGAGTGATCCTCCAGTCTCAGCCTCCCAAGTGCTGGGATGCTAGGTGTGTGCCACCATGCTCGCTGTATAGTAAATAATAAATGAAATGGGAAAAGTAGAGGTCTCCTGACAACTATAGACAATAGACGGTTTTGTTCCCATTTGAGGCACACAGAGGTAAAGGGACTTAACTGAGCTAGACAGTCCTGAGTAATTAATTGAACCTGGACGTGGTGTTAACGTTGTTTCACAACCATGGTGTGTGGCTCTTACTCTTATGGCTGATTTTCATTCATGCTGATGAAATGGAGGCTTCCTTTTTTTTTTTTTTTTTTTCCAATTTGTTGAGAACAGATGAGACACCCGCTTTATTCCACAGATATTTGTGAACACTTAGGGGGTGCAGAGCAATTGAAACAAGGCTTAATGTTTTAAGTGAACTGGGAAAATGGTTTGTGGACTCTTTGAGGGCTGATCACTTTTTTAAAAAAAGATTGGTTGATTGATTTGGTACAGGGTCTTGCTATGCAGTTCAGGCTTATAGTAATCCTCCTATCTAAGCCTCCCCAGCACTGGGATTACAGGTGTGCGCCACCACACCTGGTTTCAGTGGCCAGCGTGGCGTGGGGCCAGCACAGCATGCAGTACTGGGGATTAAACCCAAATCCTTGCACTTGTCAGGCAGATGCTTAGACCACTGAGCTATCTTCCCCACCCCGCCTGATCGCTTTCCCACTAAGGTTTGTTAGACAGTTCCAGTGTTTGGGAACATGCTTGCCAGATGTTTTACTCAAGTCTATTTTATTTTTCTGACCATCTGCTGACATCATGAATACAGTCCCTTAATTTAAGTATATTTGTAGAAATTATAAAGTGGACAGTGATGATAGTATGATAGGTGGTATAATAAACTGATATGTTTTGCTAAGTTCTTAATTACAGAGAAAAAATTGAACTACAACTCTTATTAAGGAAAAAGCAAAGTGTAATGTCATAATAGGTACCCTTTCTCTCTGACCTTTCTTAGGGCTTGAGGAATGATCTAAAAGCGGCTTTGGATAAGATTGATCAGCAGTACCTCAATGAAATTGTGGGTGGTCAGGAACCTGGAGAAGAAGACACACAGAATGATTTGAAAGTCCATGAAGAAAACACCACAATTGAGGAGTTAGAGGTAATTCCTGCACCCCGCCCCGCTGCACCCTGTCAGCCTTCTCTAAAACAGATGACTGAGTTGTCAGAGCCTAACTGCAGAGCATGCTGCTTTCTGGGGCTAGTGCCAAGTCCCTTCTTTGTTCTATGCTTTTTATGTTTCACATCTGTGAATTGGATTTTTTTTTTTTTTTTTTTTTTTTAACCAGGAATTGAATTCAGGACCTTGAGCTTGCCAGGCAGGCACTTAAGCCCTGAGCTATCTCTCTGGCCCTCCCTGCTTCCTGTTATCTGCCTTTTTATTTTGCTCTTTATTGATATTTTGGGTTTCTAGTCTTTATTTTTTTACTTTTTTCTTTCCTTTTCTTTTTACTTTATTCTGCTTTTAAGATCCATTCTGGATGCTTTTGGTACATTTAATTCTTTGCTTTCAATTGCTAACTATTATGACATTTACTGTATTTTAATTTTTGTCCCCCAATAATGATGAATGATTAGATTATTCCCAGCTCATATTAACTACCAACTGCTTTGTGATAAACTGTTGTCTTATAATGCCGCTGTGGATTGAAAGGGCAGGATCTGGGGACTTGGGCATGTATATATAACTTATCAGAGTACTGCCAGTGCCGGGTTGGTTTCTGGCATGGCTGTCCCCATCTGCACCCCCACTGACAGCTTGTGAGCAGCTTACATCCTTACATCCTTGCCAACACTTACCAATGTCTTGCTTTCATTTTACCATTCTGTTGAATGTGGGATGATATGTATAATCTTAATCAAAAATCAGTGTTGTGTCATGTATGTAGTATGTAAAAAATATAGCTTAGTTTAAAGATTTAATGGTTAGTCAAAAATAAGCTGTTATTTTCTGTTTCCTGTAGTTTCTGTGGTTTGCACGTGTAGCCGTGTATAAGAGAGATTATAGCTGAGGATGTCATCCTCGTCCTTTCCCTTCCTCCAGGACCTGTCGCAAATGGTCCTAGCATTTCACTGAAATAACTGGTTTGGTCAACCAATTGTGAGACCAACCCTCCTTTCCTTATTTTTTTTTTAAACAGCTTTATTGAGATAGTCACATGTTATGCAGTTTATCTATTTTAAAGTACTCAATTCAGGAGTTTTTTTGATGTGTTCACAGAGTGGCACAACAATCATTATAGTCTAATTTTAGAGCATTTTTGTTGTTCTTGAAAGAAATTTCATGTCTATTAGCAGTTACCGTTCTTAGTCTCTCTTGTCTTCAGATGCATAAAAGACAGCTTTGCTTTCTAAATAAAAGTGGCAAATCACTGTTTTGTCTTTTGTTTGTTTGTTTGTTTGTTTGTTTAGAAATTGCAGAAGGTTTTAAGTTTAATTGAGTGACATCTTTAACAATGAGCTGTTTCTAGTCTGGTGATGATCATATCTATATGTCCAGTATTTGTGCATATTCAGCTGTTGCTCTGTGCTAATGAATGTATATGATGTTCCTTTTCCTCAGGCCCTAGGAGAGTCCTTAGGAAAGGGCAATGATCATAAGGACATGGACATCATTACCAAATTCCTAAAGGTACATAGCTTCCACAAGGGAAAGGGAAGGCCTTTTGAATACTTAAAAATGTGTTTTGCATTTTTAGATTACAAGTGTTAAAGGTCAGAGAAGGACTTCTCAGTAAATATGTGTGCATGACTTTGTGGTATCACTGTGTATTTGCATAAAGTGGTTAACGAAAGAAAATGTATGTTTACGTTTTCACAGCTCTTTTTATTTGAAAGCTGATTCATTAATGTAAACACTTAGGAAAGAATCCCAACAGCAGAATAAACAAGTGAGGAGGTGTTTCTTCATTTTAGAAACACCCTAGGCAGGTGTGCAGCAGAAGCTTCCAGAATCTTGAATGACAAAAGAAGGGAAGGAAGAGAAGGGAGGAAGAGAAAGGGCATTGGCAGTGCCAAAGGAAACAATATCTGTCACCTTGGGGGACTGTTTCCATCTCTACACCTAGCCTCATATGGCCGTGATTGTTAATCCCATCTTGATTTCTAGACATTCCTTTTTAGTGGTCTAGAGTGTGAGCAGTTCCCAGGTGCACTGTAATGTTTATTCACAAACTATTCAGACTAAGATTTAAATTCAGGGAATGCTTTGACTTTTATTTGCATTTTAAAGACATTGTAGTCATCAAGATTGTAAAATAAATTGAGCACATGGCATGAGGAGACGGGGTGGGAACTGTTGCCCAGTTGTATTTGTCTCCTGAATGATAGCTTTTCTTGTGTCCATGAGCATCCTTGGCCTTTGCTGGCACTCAGATGAGTGTCCGTTAGATGTCTTGGGCTCTGAGACAGTTTTCTAATGATGGGATTAACAAGAGAAGGAATGGGTCATAGTCTTTTATTTTTGTGCCTGTTTTTCCTTCATTCTACATTAGTCAGGTGATTTGTTGGAAATTTTTACTTGAATTATCTATCCTGTGTAAGTAGAAAGTCTAAATGCTATAATCTGTGAAGACTGATGGAATACACAGTGAATATGATACACTATGGATGATCGATCTACATTGACTGAATTTTATGTAATAGGTAAACATTAAAAACAATAACAACAGCACAGTGAAAGTTTATTTCAAATGGTTAAGAAATTTGATAGCACTTTTTTTTGAGTGAATGGATCATCTTGACCCAGGAACGTGATATATAGACTAGTGGAGTTTGTGACATTTACTTTGAACTGACTGGACCAGTAGGTGGCGTTTAGTCTCAATGTACCTGTTCTTTCAACAGTTTTTGCTTGGTGTTTGGGCTAAAGAATTGAATGCCAGAGAAGATTATGTGAAACGCAGCGTGCAGGGTAAATTGAACAGTGCTACGCAGAAGCAGACTGAGTCCTATCTCAGACCACTTTTCAGAAAGCTCCGCAAAAGGGTAAGGGTCCCAGAACATGGTTTTGTTAACCTTTCTTGAAACTTAAGATATACATAGAATAAATGTCATTTGTTTTTCTCCATATATAATAGCTTCCAAAATTGATTATACTTTTTTTTCCAGAATCTTCCTGCTGACATTAAAGAATCAATAACAGATATTATTAAATTCATGTTGCAGAGAGAATATGTGAAGGTACATTTTGAATTATACTATGCATTGATGTTACTATGAGCATATCTAGGTTATGTGCCTAATACAATACTGTTTGGGATGGGAGTATGTTTTGTAGTACGTATAAGAATAAATACAGAGTCAGGTAGTAGAAAAAATTTTATTCTTTGTTTTCTCAGCATTGTTAGGGATTAACTGACAGAGCTTTAGTCTATAACTGTGTTTTTGTAGTCATTTTTAAAGTAGGGTGAAAGGCTCTCCAGAGTACAGTCTATAGAGGGGATGTTCACTTTGTGAATAGGATTGCATTTCAGAGTTTCTAGATGGCTAGTTATGACTTAAAACAAAATTTCCCACAGAAACAATATTGTGTAGATTCGTTTCCCAGAACAGCTATAAAATCTCATTCAATAGTAATTAATATAGCTGAACACAGGCCCTAGTCAGGGCTGCTCTGCCTCAGGGCACTGCACTAGCAGAGCCCCAAGGGGCACAGTTCTCCTGCTATGCTGTACAAGGGCTCTGGGAGGCAGTAGCAGGGTGTGGTGGGGGGCTTGTCTAGGGCCTGTGGGGAGCATTTTGAGAGATGGGAGGGGGCTCTTTTGGTAGTGAGGACAGAGAAAGAACAGTCTGTATGCTGGCACCAGAGACTGGAGATTGGAGATTGGATAGTGGCTGTGTCAGGCAGACTTCCCAGCTGCTGGGAGGGGAGTGGCAAGGCCAGCACCCTAGTACAGGGGAAGAGGGACTTCTGGATGACTGCATAGTCGGTGTGAGGCAAGCATTAGGCTAATGAGGGTAGCAGCAATTTTACTACTTGTAAGAACCACTTAATTCTCTCAAAAAACACATTGGTTTTGCTTTATAGTTATAAATTACGTTCTTAGTGTTTGTCAGCTGCATGTTTTTTTTTTTTTAACGTGTGCATTTTGTTTTTTGAAATTGTCCAAAACTTATTGTAAAGAAAAAACTCATTAAAGCATATACATAAAAAAATTTAGCAATGGAAGAACAAAATTAAATAGCATCTTATTCCACATTAGAAAAACAGGAAAAAAAAAAAAAAAAGATCAAGTGTGTAAGAATCTAGAATAATTAAAGGACTGAAAGAAATGAGAAAAACAGATCTGTCCTCTTTGAATTTTATACTTAGCAAACATACCTTTGAAAACTAAAGGTAAAATATTTTCTAGTTATACAGACTCGAGATATTCTAATACCTCCAGATGTAGCATATAGGAAATAAAAAAGAGCATAATTCAGAAGGAAAGAGAAGTTGCTGTATGCTCCTAGGTGAAGAATAAAGAGCTCTCAAAATGATAGTTATGCAGGACCGTATAAAATATATTAGATGAACCCATTTAAAAGGTCATTAAAGATTTCTTTGAAATGGCATCTGTCTTATGTTGGGTTATGCACATATTTTTTTCATATATGTGTGTGTGTTTAAAAGAGGGAAGAAGTTATATAAAGTATAACTATATAATAGAAAATAGAAATATGCTTTTTAAAGTTTTTTCAATAGAAAATAGAAATATACTTTTTAAAGTTTCTAATACTAGGAGAAAATATCTCTTTTAAATAGATTGTAAGTCACATATACAGTATAAATCTTAAAACAAAAATTAAGATTAAGCAATATTCAGAAAATTAAATACTAATTAATAAATAAAATGTTTCAAAACAATTGAACTTAAAAAGTTTTCATAATAGTAAAGAATTACTAAGAATAAAACATAACATAAATACTGGAATGACAAATAAATGACCAACACTTGTAACAGTTTGGGGATAGGATATCGCACACAGTTCTAGTGTGTAGTGGACATGGATAATGTCCGTGACACTTACTGGTGGCCAGGTGTCACTTGTGGGACTGAGCTACTGCTATTTCCTTGATCTCCACCTTGTAGATCTGGATAGAATCATGACCCAAAGGGTGCAGGAGAAATCCATTTGTAGAGTATGCTGGAAGTATCTTGTTGTTTGTCATGGAAGTATTTCACTTCTCCATTATACTTGAAAGAAAGTTGTGCAGGGTGTATCAGTCTGGGTTGCAATTTGTTTTCTTCCAAGACTTGAAGTACTTTACTCCATGCTCTTCTTGCCTTGATGGTTTGTGAAGAGAAATCTGCTGTTATCCTGATGGGTTTTCCTTTAAATGTGATCTGTTTCTTTTCTTTAGCGGCTCTTAGTATACTGTTCTATGTTGAATTTCTGGGATCTTGATTATTATATGTCTGGGTGTGGTTTTAATTGGATTGATGTTCTTTGGAGTTCTGTATGCTTCGGTTACTGAATGTCAGATTGTTGACCCATATTTGGGAATTTTTCTGCTATTACTTCCATCCATATTCTTTTTGTATCTTTGTATTGACTCCTTCCTTCTCATTGATGCCTATTAGTCTCATGTTGTTCATCTTTGCATTATCTTGCAGGTATTGAATTGTTTTTTCCTGCATCGTAGTTATTTTTAAGCGATCTTTTCTTACTTTTTCATTAGCTGCAATGGTGAGCTGCATGATTCTAAAGCTAATTGCGTTGTAGTGGGTGGGTAAGGTCATTGTCCGCCTCCTGCTTGCTAGAGTGAATGCCGTTCCTCTTTTATTATTTCCTCATGATTATGTCCCGTGACCAAGTGAAAATTTTTGTGTAAACCACAAAAATAGCAGTAATCTTTAATAATGTTTGGACAGTTCTCTTTGGGATTTTGGGAAAACTGAGTGTTGGAACTTTTAAATTTATTTTATTTTATTATTTTTAAAATTTTTTCTGGTACCAGGGATTGAACTCAGGACCCTGCGCTTGCGAGTCAAGCACTTATTCCCCTGAGCTATTTCCCTGGCCTTGGGAACTTATATCAAGTCTGTAGTTAAAGTTTAAACCCAGCATCAGTGATACAAATGTGTATCTATCCTCTATTGAGCAGAGTAAGTTCAATTATATCTTTAGAGTAGAAAATAATCTCCTGTCTATAGCTTAAGTTTTAAAATCATCTCTATATAACAAACACATGTAGGTGTTTGATTTTTGAAATTGAAATCTCTTTCATGCCTGCACTGCAGCCCTGAGAGTCTTTTGGAATTTACCTGCTGTTTTTTCTCCTTCCTCATAGCTAGTGAGACTTAATTTAGAAAAAGCCCATTTATTTTTATTGGTTTTTATCTTCACTTTCTGTAACTTTTATTTTATGGTTTGACATGTGGATGGTTGGGGGCCAAAGTGAAAGGTGGACTGCTGTCATCTCTTAGCTGTCTGGCTCCTGTGCCAGTATTCAGTCTGTGCTTACACATCTGCTATGGACCTCACATGCTCGGCGCAGCACACAGAATGCCTGCTGCTTCCAGAGGCCCAGCACTGTGCAGAGTGCCATGATTTAGGCTGGAACTGAAAAGCCAGTCAGCCTCTGCCTTGCTGGGGGCCACCTGTAAAGAAGACCAGGACTGGAGTTAGTCAGTGTGAAGGATCAGATGCCTGTGAATTCCAGATATGAAATTATTAGCTTTCTGTGCACAAGGGCCGGGAAGGAATTTTTGTCCTTTTCACTCACACCTTTAGCTTCAGTTTGTTTTTCCATGGGCACTTGCGGTCCTAAGCAGGGGATCACTTCATATTTTGATTTCTTCTATTTGAATGACAAGGGTATAGTATTTACAACAAGCCAAAGAGGTGGATGAAAATTGTCATAAAACTTTAGAACAATACAATATTCTTGTGCCTTCTGATCTCTTAAACTTTGCTTTCAGGCAAATGACGCTTACCTTCAGATGGCCATTGGAAATGCTCCCTGGCCTATTGGAGTCACCATGGTTGGCATCCATGCCAGAACTGGCAGGGAAAAGATCTTTTCCAAGCATGTAGCACATGTATTAAACGATGAAACTCAGCGGAAATATATTCAGGTAAGCAGTTTGGAGGGACATTATTTGCCATAAACATTCTTAGTTCCTCAAACTTAAAGTCTAAGAATAGAATGGTAGCAGCTCCTCTTATTTTGAGACCCCCTAGTGGATGCCTAAAATCTTGCGTAGCACTGAACCCTTAGTATGATAGGCTTCATTATGACAAAGTATTCATGATAGTGTTTAATTTATAAATTCAACCTGCAGATGAAGGAGGACTCCTGTGTAATAAGTAGGACATGGCACAACAGAGTGAAAGTGTGCTCTCAGTAAGCACTTGTACTTGGCATGCTCACTAGAAAGTCTGTGACTTACCTATGTGGTAGAAGACAGGGTGAACTGTTACATTTTAATTGTCTTAGCACTAAAATAAAATTTCCAGTTTACTTTAAAAATACACAATTTGTAGGGGCCGGGGAGATGGCTCAGTAGGATAAGCGCTTGACAGGCAAACGCTAGGATCTGAGTTCAATCCCCGGTTCCACCAAAAAAAAAAAAAAAAAAAGAACAAAAAAAAAAAAAAAAAAAAACACAATTTGGGAATTAAGTGAAGAACAACAAATTTATAGTATAAGTCCAACTTTACTTGTGTTGGAGATCATTATCTACTAAGCTAAAAGGGCATGGAAGGTACAGACTTGGCTTTAATGAAAATACTTACTTTAAATAGTAACAAAACTTGTAATTACATGACTAGGTCTAAAATGTTTGTAGTTATTTTCTTAAAATTCTATCTATCTATCTATCTATCTATCTATCTATCTATATCTCACATAAACTTGCTTGCACTATTAGTTTTCTGAAAATGTGCAGGGGAAAAAACCTAACTACATAACTTTGCCAGGTTGTCATAAATCCCAGGTATCTGCATAATGACTTTTGGTGAATGATAATTTTAAAACTTGAAGATGATACTCTGGAAGTTTACTTAAAATTTAAAGTTCAACTTAAAATTCATAGAGTGCTTTCAGATTTTATGCCAGAGAACATTTACTACCATATTCATGAATTATCCTGTTTGTATTTCAGTTCTGAGTGCCAAATGTTAATTTGTGTGTCACGCTTTATGCCTCATTCACAGGCATCACAGGCATTAGCATTTTAAATATTTCAACCTGCCTTCTCACTGCCAATTGTAGATTTAATAGAGTTCAAGTACACTTGGGCAAATTGAAGCAAGCTGCCATTTCTTAATAGCCACCAGTGACTGTATTAAAGGCAAAAGCTTTTAGTGAAAGATACAGTTTCTTGGTTTTAATACTAGGATACAGTTTTCATGGACTTCATCCACAGCATGGCCAAAGCTGTATACAGCACATACTCATTTGTATAGTAGACACATTTTCTGAAAAACAACAATCTGGGTCCAGTGATACCCTTGTGGATAGGATGTAATCAGGGCTCTTAGCTTGCTGGTGAGGAAGTCGTGAGCACTGATGGGTCCGTGTCTCCTTGGGTGGACACCAGTGGCATGTGGCAGCATTCTTAGCAACCTCAGTACTGTGCAAGTGCAGTGGTGGGTGCCATGCCATTTGACACTTAGGCTTTCCGTTAGTGTCACTTTATTTTCAGAGTGTAGAAATTTAGTTCTGATGTTAGGCATTGGTTTTCTTTTTATGAGAAGTTGTAATCTTTTTTCTTTTTCTCTCTTTTTTTTAAAATGTATTTAGTACAGGGTCTAACCACACAGATCAGACTCATAGTGATCCTCCTGTTTTTAGCCTGCCAAGTGCTGGAATTACAGGTGCATGCCACCACGCCCAGTCTCAGTTGCTGTCTCAGCGTGCCCTGGGCACAGCGCGACGTGGCCCGGTGCCACATGGCACGCTGGGGATCAAACCCTTTAATCCACTGAGCCATCTGGCTGGCCCTGAGAAATTAAGATCTTAACTTTTTAAAAAAAATACGGTCTCTTTTAAAACACTGACATCAAGTTTTTAAACATCTTGTGAGGTTAAGCAGAAGGCCAATTTGTGATCTGTGTCTCAAGATAAGCCTATAGTGCAGCTTAAGCAATAGAAGGCTAGTGAGCTTAGTGAAATTTGTGGTGACCAATACCTGAGTACTAAATTGTATTGTGAGTCTTCCTTTTTATTTGAATTATCCTACAAAAGGGAAATGTAAATGTATTATTTAAATTTTAAATCAGGGGTTGGCAAACTTTTTCTTGAAGGACCAGATAGTAACTCTCCTAGGCTTTCTGCTTCCTGCTGTCTCTAATCCAGCTACTGAGCCTAGAAGCTGTAATGCCCAAGCAGCCAGTAGCTGTGACCCAGGGACACAGTTTCTAAGAGACAGATGGACTGTGGACCATAGTTTGCTGATGCATGGTAATTGTATAAACTCATTTTCTGTGCTAAGATATTTGCTAAGGAAGTCATTATAAAATTAATTGAATTGAACAATTATTTTTTGCTAAATTGAGGTATGTTTCAACAAATGCTATAATGCTTGATCTTTACAACTAACCTTAGTTATATAGCCTGTGATTCTTGGTATTTGTAACATACACCAAGCTATGAAACAAGATCTAGATTTAGAACATTCCTGGACTACCCAACGTAGAGCTACCTTCATCTCTGTTACCAGCCCAGTGCTCTTCCTCTGGTCAGAAGTAGCCACTGATCTGATGTGTCATTATTGTTTAGTTTTGCTTCTTAGACATCATGTAAATGGAAACTTGGAACATGTGGGTAACTCATTATTTTTTCATTGAAATGCTGGTATAGTATTTGTTGTATGGAATGTGATAAAGCAATTTAGGAGACTTTCACCAGAGTATGATTTCATCCTTGGTTTTTATGCGTACCTCAGTTGATTTAAACTGTGGAAGTTGTTTGAAGTATTCTTATTAAAACTAAAAAGACACCACAGGAAAGGTTTTCTCACCATGTGAACTAAAGAAAAGTTGTATAGCTTATTAGCTCATTTTAGGACAGGGGTTAGATTTACATTGGTGGTAGGAACTTCAAGGACTTCGTTCACTATACCAAAATACAGATAGCACTTTTTGGCCCAGATAGGAAAGCTGCTTTTTTTGTCCATAAAAAAGAAGGAAGGTAAATGTAGGAAGAAAGTTAAAACAAAATGTACGTCAAAGGCTTGTTGACCCCTGTGAGTCCTCTTCACCCAGTTCTGGTTGTCCTGGAAACCTGACTTTTATGAATGGCATTAGCCAGCATGCTCCCTTGCTCTCTGGCTCCTGGGTGGGACTGGCAATGAGAGGGCCCTGGGAGGTTATTTTGTTGTTTCAAACAGGTTTGGGCTCTGTATTTCCCTGGTTCTTCCCACTAGAGTTCCTGTAGGGCCGCATTCTTCGGTCCCCAGTCATTTCTTCTCTTAGGTGACTGTTAACATCTAACAGTTACCTTCTCTGGGTTTCAGTAACTACTCCACTCCCTCGCCCCTTCAGCACTCTGCCTGCCCACAACTAAGGGTACTGTGGTGCCCACTCCTTTCTGAAGTCCTTGAAACTGCTACCGTCACAATATCCAGTCTGAGTGTCCTTTGTGTCCTGCTGTATCCTTTCAGATATACACACACTATTTGTATGTGAGCTGTGTTATACACAGAATTCTTTAGGGGTTAGAAGATTAAGGAATGATACTCATTCTAAATAGTTTTCCTTGGGTTTTTGCAATTGCAAAGTAAAAATAACTCTGTAGTACTCTTCTCCAGTTGTTTTCTAGCTAATTGTTTTCAGTAACCTTGAATTTGTAAATTCTATAGTAAGACAGTATTCCAACGTGACATGTCAGATGTGTGTGTATGTCCATGCCTCAGGTTTAGCATATTTCATCTACTCTAGCATTTACATACTTTACTGTCCATAGGACATTTGCAGATTTCTGATATACTCATGTATTTCCAAAGTTACTGGGAGTTGGGGCTGGGGAGATGGCTCAGCAGAATAAGTGCTTTCCTGGCAAATGCAAGGGCCTGAGTTCAATCCCCGGTTCCACAAAAAACAAAAACCACAAAAAAAACCCCAAAGTTACTGGGAGCATTGTTCATTGCAGTAAGCGCTCGCAGCTTGGTGCCCCATGGTTACTGGCAGTGCTTCCTGTGCACCAGTGCCCTTATTATATGTCACACATTTGTAGGTCAGGTGGCTTCATGCTATAGCCTGGTGCTCTTGGCTTTGATGAAGCATTTTCTAGGAGCAAATTGCTGCGTGGTAAGAACTGTCTACCCATTTGCTGCTTTGTGGAATAGTAATACAATACATTTTAAGAGAAAAACTCTGCTAGTGGTTATCCTTTACAGATACCACCTTTTACTTAGCATCACAGAACCGTAGCATATTATACTCACATCTTGAGCAGTGCTGATCTAAACTGCCATGCTTTTGCTTTAGATGACAGCTTACTTGCTAGGAAATAGGGAGATAGATATAGTAAATCTTACATTTCTCATCCACATAATTTTTTAAAAGGGCCATATTACCCTCTGCTAGGAAAGGCTGGTGGTCATATAAATGTCATCTTTTCCCAAATTAGAGAAAAGAAATAGGACTGCTACAGAGGATCAGGGATTAAGCCACCATCGTATTTCTCATTAGTGCCAGTAGAAAGTAGGGAATTGCCTCTGTAATAACAAGTAAAGTAATTTCTGACTTAGAATTCCCTTTCTAGCTGAACTGTAAGTCAAAGGTGAACATAGGCTAATGATGCTTCTGACAAATAAAGTCTCAAAAATGTGACCTCTCACATTTGTATTCTCTGGGGTCATCATAGCTTACACTTGCATAGCGCTTACTCTGTGCACTTGACAGCAGCAGTGTGCGGTAGAAATGGTCATTTCCTTGTTCCATAAGTAAGAGAAGTGGGATACAGAGACACAAGCCTCCAGGCCCTGCAGCTAGTAAGTGGTGGGCTTGAGATTGAACATAGGAATCTTACTCTGTTGTAGTTTGTTGCCTCTGCTTAAGGATGTCATCTCTCAGAATGAGGGAGACAAACGAACAGGTCCTGGAACTGAGATCCAGCTGAAAACACAGTGAGAGGAATTCTGAAGTTGAAGGAGAATGGGATGGCCATGGATGTAGCAATACAAGGGTGTCCAGATTGGAGCAGATAGACAGAAGGTTAAGGGAACGATGGGAGAGATTATACCATATGGTTTATTTTGTCATGTGTCTCATTGTTAGGGAACAGATCAGAAAAGGAAAAATACAGGGTGGTGGGTATGAAAGGAGAGGTCCTCATAATACAGACAAATATTTGGAAACCTTTAGGAGGTCATTTGTGAATATTGGTTTCATTCGGAGTTGTGCTTTGGAGAAGATGTATATGTTGGTGTGTGTGGCCAAGTGGGCATGATGGGAGTTAAGTCTTCTGGTTTTATGGTTGAAAGTTGGTGAATAGTGTATGAAACAGAAGAGTCCAGCAGAGCCACCCAGGGCTACATTGCAAGACCCTGTCTCAAAAGACAAAATAAATAAAATAAATATTAATAAATGAAAGTAAAAAAATCCACTAAAGTACCCCCAGTTTTTAAGCTATTCTCGCTGAGCTAGAGATTTAGTTGCTTAAGCATCCAGAAATAGTTGAAAATAGTTCCCTAAGTGGACTAATTGAAAAGATTTGTTTCTAGTTGGAAAGTGACCATATGTTGTCCTGAAATTGTGCACCTTTAAAAAATCAGGACTGTGTACTTTCAGTCTTTATAGTAAAAGTTTATGGTAGTTTACTAGGTAACTATTTGTGACTGTAACATTGAGTTTCATACCTTTTGGCAGCTGAGTTTCCAGGCAGAATGTTAGTACTATACAGTGGTACCTCCTCAAGTTCTTTCCACAGTTCTGGCATATTTACTTGCAATTTGGTTGTAGCCAATATCGTGATTGAATTCTGTGACCAGAATTATGGAAATAATTAGTTCGTGAATCAGGGTACTACTGTATGTGTTTGTCATAGAATCTGCTCACTGAATATAAAGGAGCAACAGAGATGTCTTCTATAATCAAGCACCTGAGATTCCAGCTCTTGTAATGGAAAATTATGTCTAACAGTATTCCCATCTGCTGGCCTCCTCCGAGCTTGTGGCAGTTCTTGTCATATTCTGCTGCAGACTGAGATTCTGTATTTCATCAGGATGTTTTGTCTCCTTTTTGTGCTTCTCTTTTACCTGTTTCTTCAAGAACCATAAAGATGCCATTTTTATTTTATTTTATTTTTTGGCGGAACCAGGGATTGAACTCTGGCCCTTGGAATTGCCAGGCAAGCCCTTATTCTACTGAGCTATCTGCCCAGCCCCTAAAAATGCCAAATTAATGTTATCACATGTACTTCTGAGGCTACAGATCACAAACCTGTGATCTGTATTCAATTCAGAACACATGATTAGAGGTCATGGCTTTGACAAGAAGGAAGGGTCTTTGTACTACAGCTATAAATACTTGGTGAACACTGGGAGCAACAGCAAAACAAAACAAAGGAGCAAAGTGAGTTACATGCTCGCTCTTTGCATTGCTTGCAAAAGTTCTCCTTGAAAGTCACCTGGAAGATAGCACCTCTCTACGCCACTCATTCTTAAGTAGCATGATACGGACATGCTGAGCACACATTAAGTTGAAATTGAGTCGTTTTACTGATAGTGACTCTGCAGTCATACTTCAGTTTACAGGAATAATTTATTTGTGCTGTCTTTTAAGGAACCAAGCAGATTTTGCAGAGATTCTGTTGTTTTGGTGATTTCATTGAATTTAAGGGTTACTTGAATATGTAGTTCTCACTATTACACAGTGAGAGCTCTAAGTGTTTAATGATGTTTTAGATACCTATTATATCAGCATACATTTTTAGGACAATTTTAATACATTCTCTCTAGATTTCCATTATTTTCTTCTGTTATTGAGTTGTATAATTACTGCCACCTATTCTGCTGTTCTATGATATGATATTGTTTCCTGTTGAAAGAACTGAGGATATTTCAGTTGTGTTGTGCTAGGGAAGAAAGTGAATTTTGGGAACAGTACTATTTAAGTACCAGGCAATGTGTACTTTACTTTTATACTCAATATTTAATATTATTCTAAGCCTGTATGTAGTAAGCTTTTGGCTTATGGGGAGAGCATTTCATTTTTCTTATTATAATGAGAACGGTCAGTTTTTAATTTTTGTGAACCCACAGTTCAAAACATTAAAGTAGTGGGGTCCTGGAGGGGTCTGCTGTTGTTCTGGCCTGTTTGTACACTGTTTTGAAGAATTTGAATAAGGACTTGTAAGGCACTGAGAAAAGTAGGAAGAATAGCTAACAACTAAGGATTTTTAAAGGATTGAAGGATGAGTTGAGAGAGATTGGATTGATTAATTGCGAGTGCTGAGGTTTGAACCCAGGGCCTTGCTTGGGCTCTACCACTGAGCTGTCGTGTCAATTTAAAAAATTATTTAGTTACACACTGGAGAACTGGCCAGACTGTAGAACAGATGGAAAAAATTTGGTGAGACAATGGGGAATTAACTGAGGGATTTATAATTGTCTGCAAGGAGTGTAAGGTCATAGTAATGGACATCAGAGGTACAGAAGAAAAGCCATCCAGCAGCCGCTTTCGCTGGACTCTGTAGGAGTGACTAGGGCATGTTTGGAATGTTGTACTTAGTTTTTCTTGTACTGAAACATTCTTAGTATGTAATATTTGGTACTTGGGGCTGGTGAGATGGCTCAGTGGTCTAAAGCACCTACTTAGAACAAGCTAAGCTAAGCAAAACACAGGGACCGCGGTTCAATCCCCCAGCACCACATGCCAGCCAGCCCCGCCCCCTGGTGGGCTGAGCTGGCCACACACACACACATACACACACACACAAATAAATAAAATTTAAAAAAAAATTAAAAAAAAATTTGGTACTTAACAAAAACCATGTAAAATATAAGTTACAAAGTGAATGATCAAATAAATATCAAAAGGTTTTAATCTTCTTTCAGAACTGGAACATTCTAAAAACGATTGCATCTATATTTTCTTCCTTTACCCCAAAAGTAACCATGATCCTTAATTTATGGTTATCATTTTCTTGTTTTTTTTTTTTCAAAAAATAATTCTGTCGTGTATTTCTGGCAATGTATTTTATACTTCTTATCTCTGTTAAAATGATATTGTACTTTATGTAGCCATTTTCTCCTTGTTTCTTATATTCAGCAATTTGTAAGACTTGTATATGTTGGTCTTTCTCAACCAGAGGTTCTCAGACGGACCACAAGACAAGGAAATGATTTGCATGATTATTTTCTGTCTCCCCTGAGATGTTCTATGAGTCGTGCCCGAAATGTTAGGGGCTTAGAGAAGTTATCCTCTTACCTTTGTTTGTGGCAGGGAGCACTGCTGCAGTCAACACCGCTCCCTGCCACAGTCCTGTCTTTTCCTCTGGAGCACTTGTGAGCTGAAGAAAGTCCAGAGGAGGGCGGTGAGGAACGGCACAGCTGTATCATCACCAACTTTATTCTCTTTATGCTCTTAGGGACTGAAGAGGTTAATGACCATTTGCCAGAAGCACTTTCCCACAGATCCATCAAAGTGTGTGGAGTACAATGCCCTGTGACAACCATGTGCAGCGTGCAAATAGCAGTGAGAAGCTTAAAGAAGCGGTGTACAGGCTCCTGTTACCACCGGCAGAAATGAAAAGAGAGCTGGAGCTTCCGATTTCCAAATTTTGCCTGCAGAACTGTGGCCACTCTCACATCTGATAGCAAACAGATTTTTGGGTTTGCTATCAGTTTGGGTTTGCTTTCATTTTAAATTTTGAAAAATTTAATTCTAAAGACTTTCCCAAAAAAAAAAAAAAAAAAGACTTTCCCACAACTTAAACATGGAGACAGCAGTAACACATGGGGATTTGAAATGATGGACCTAAAAGTTGGCTGTTAGACAATTAAAAAGAAACATTTGAGGACAGACTTAATTTTTCTATGATTTTCACACAGTCTTTTATGTACTATTTATAGAAAATATTTTTATATATTTAAAAAAAATGGGTCCATTGAATGAAACGACCTTTGGTATCTTGCAACATAATGTAATGTAAATGAGGTACTGTATGCTTAAGTATTTTTTTCTTCTGTTTCAAAGCTTTCTTTATCTTTGAAAGAATGTACACCATAGTATCTGTCTTCTCTTGGGAAAGAAGAGAATTAACAGTAAAAAGTGTGGCAAATAAGGCAGCATATTGTACCAGTCTATGTTCCAAATGGAGTTAACACCAGCAGGTCAAGGTTCTGGGTAAGGAAGTAGGCCATGAGCCAGCCTAGAACGCACATGTGTACCGGACAGGGTCCTAGCCACAATCTGGCAGAGGATGCCGGGACTGGGACTGTGGTTCCTACCCCAAACAGTGTGTCCTGGCTCTCGGCTTGCACAGTGAAGACTTGCATTAGATCTTGCAGTGTCATCCTTCGATCATTGTGACCGGTCACTGCTTTTGGAGCTGAGAGGGCTGAGTTACAAAGTAGAGAGTAGGATGCTACCTGACCAGCAGGATGGCAGTGTCAAATATTACGAGAGTGGAGGTCCTAAAGTTAGAACCTTACAGCTTCCCAGCTCAGTCACCCTGAGTACTGACAGTATAGCAGCAGAAAACTGAGGCAATTCGCCTAATCTTGGTAAGCACTAGCTTCCCCCTCTTACAGGGACAGTTGCAGTGCTGTGCTTAAGTAAAATAAAATGCTTAGTGCACTGCCTGGCAAGTGCCAAGTGCTCACTAGAATCTGTGGTGTTATTGTTGCAATTGTTAGACCTTTCATGGGCCTTGCACTTAGAGGCAGTGTGTTCTCATGTAATAATAGTAATACCCATGTTGTTTACAGTGACAGCAGTAATCATGAAATTGCTAATTAAACTTTTCTTGTATTTGGGCTCCATGGCTGCTTTTACTTCAGTAAGTTCTGCCTTTAGGACAGAGAATGGGAGTTAAAGGCCACCATTGAGAAAGTCACTTTGTCCACTTGTGGTCCATGTATATGTTGAGAATGATTGGTTCTGCTGATTACTTGTGAGGAGTTGGCAGAGCCTGGTGTCCTGAATTGAATCAGGGTCCCCACCCTCCATTTTGGAAGCCTTTACTTACTAAATTACATAGAGTTTGGGGGAAATTGAATGGCACAGGTGAGAAACAGACTTTCCTAAGATAAGACAATAATCCACACTTTGGATGTGTGGTCTTGTATAGGTCTTGCTTACAAACATTATTGAATAAATACTACCTGATTATTTTTCCTTCAATCACAGGCCACAGCACAGTAGTCAGTTAATACCATGTGTTTTCCCATTTACCCTTTGTTAATATCCCACATAAAGGGGTCGGCCAAATAGCTCAGTGGATTAAAGCACCTGCTTAGGTAGACACCAAAGCTGGGAGTTTGATCCCCGGGCCTGATGTGCTGGCCCCACCCCTGGGGTGCACTGAGATGGCAGATGAGACTGGGTATGGTGTCCCGTGTCTATAATCCCAGCACTTGGGAGGCTGTAAACAGGAGGGGCACTACAAGTCTGATCTACGCAGTGAGACCCCGAACACCCTGTAGCCCCCGACCTAAAATACCAAAAAAAAAAAAAAAAAAAAAAGCGTAAAGAAGAAAATGTATCATGTGGCACCAGTACTTTCTAGAATTGATGAGTATGAATAGTTTGACACAAACCAGAGGGGACATGTTCTACAGTGCAGTGACTGTTACGCATTTTGAAACTGGGTGGAGAGCGGAAGTTTGGAAGAAGCATATCTGTCCCTCAGAGAAAAGTTTTCTATTGCCCAGGAGTTGAACAGCTTCAGATTACTGACTGTACGTGTCTTGAGAGAGGTCGAAAAACAGTCGCTTTCATTCTCCAAATTATGGACATTTTAGTTCAGAATGTATGTGTTTATGTTTTGAACTGTTCAATAAAACAATAAAGATCCATCTTTAAAGTCAGTCACAGTTCTAAATACATTCTTTTTCCCCCTACCTTCCCATATATCTGTCTGCTAAAGGTATTCAACATTCGAATTAGTAGCACACTGGTTTTCTCTCAAAGGTAAATACATTATGTTCCTCAGCTTACAGCAGGGTTATGTCCTGACACCCATCATGGCTGAATGTGTTATAAATTGAAAATGCATTTAATACCACTGATCTCATTGTAACCTAGACTACTTTCATTGTGCTCAGAACACTTATTACGTTATCCTGTGATTGGGCAAAATCTTTTAACAGAAAAGCCTATTTTTATAATTTTGTAATAAAGTATTGAATAACTCAGACAGTATATGGAAGATAGTATATTACCACACAGTGTCCGATGTATTATACCCATCCAGAGGTCAGTGTACTCAGAGATCACATGGCTATCTTGACAACTTGGGACCACTGCTGCCCGGCATGGAAAGGGGGTCCTACGGCATGTAGCTAGCCGGCGAGAAAATTCCAAACTCCACACACGGTTCCTACTGAACACTTGTTGCTTTCACACAACTGTATGTTGAAAAGTTGTGAGTTAAATGATTATAAGTAGAAAACAGTTTGCATTGTGTTTCCTTGGAGTAACATCGTCTGCTGTGAATCCAGCCTTGTAATAGTCCACAGAAGTCTGGAAGTCACACCTGTGATTTCAGTCTGGGGAAATTTCTGGAAAATAAAGCGAAGGCCATAAGATAACACATAGGGAGAGATAGGAGTCGGGATCTTGTGGGAAGAAGGCAGAGGCCCAGAGAGACCAAGGCAGGCTGCCATGACTTACCATTGTTCCTGAATGCTCAGAATTTGGAGACCTGGGAAATAGGGTTGATAGTACTATCTTTGGGGGTGGGGTGGGGGGGATGCCAGGGATCAAATTGATGACCTTGTGTTTGCCAGATAGGTGCTTATGCCACTGAGCTATCTCCCTGGCCCTGATAGTAGTATGACTTTTTAATGTAAAGCTCCTCCTGGTGGTTTCTTGGCCTACTTGAGCACTGGGGTTTGGTGTCAGTAAATAATTCAGAAATACAACTGGTTTTTGTTGGTGCTGGTGGAAAGTAGTAAGTCATTGTGAAAGTCAGCAGCTCGGGAAAGATGAAGAAAGCACTTTAGACTCTTTGGTAGATTTTAGTTTGGGGGTTCATGTCCCTGGCTCCTTTCTAGCCATATATTACCCCATTCGTGCTGCTTTTTGTAGGACAGACTTGAGGCAGTTTGAATGTAAGGGACGCTTGAGGGAGCCTGAAATAGCTGCTTTTGTCTGAATATGTTGATGAGCAGAACTTCATGGATCTTGGCCCATCCCTCCCCCAGCATACCCCATGAAGCCCTGAAAAAATAACTTTATCCCATAGAAATTTATGGTATGGTGTCATGGTGGGAGCCTTGAGCCTAAAAGCACTTTCTCAGGGCGTACTGATGTAAGAGTTTCCAGCTGCGCAAAGCCAGAGCCAGTGCTGGTCCCCAGGGGGTCACTATGGAAACACTGTTGTAGCAACTGGTTTTCATCACAGACTGCATGCAGTTCAATTGGCTGAATTATAACCACACGCTAGTACTTCCATAGTTAATGCTAACTGTAAGTCTTTTGAAATTTAAGACTAAGTTCTGGGAGTATGGAATAGCTAGAGGAATGGAGTGCTTAGCAGCAACAGCTGTAGAATGAACTTACCGCACTCAGGATTTGGGGACCATGCTCATCAGAAGAAAATGTTTTAACACTGACCAGAACGGTTCATTAGGAAAGCATTAATATTTTTCTCCAATGTAAACTGGAATCCTTTATACAGTGTGCTTAAAGTAATCCTCATAATTGCTGGTAGTGGTTACTGTTCAGCAAGACCACTTCTTTTGGTTTATTTTTTCCTAAGCACCACATCTGAGATCATGGTCCGCCTTCTCCACTCCTCAGCCTGCATCCTGTCCTTGCCTTTCCCAGCCTGCTGCAATGGCAGTGAGTTGTGTTTGTCCTCAAAGCACTCTTCTGTAAGACCTAGCCAATCGTGTGACCCATTGTTGGGTCATAGCTGTGAGTCTGCACCTGGCTTAGCCTTTATTCCCTGTGACACAGAGTTAAAGTGGTACCTTTTGAATTTTTTTTTTTTTTTACTTAAACACAAGTCAGGGGACCTGCTCATTAGCTCAGTTGTTTAAATGCTTGCTTAAACAAAGCAGTCGGGCTCAGGATGCTGTGGTTCAGTCCCCAGACCCTCAAAGCAAACCAGACCTGCCCTGAAGGCATCCTGAGCCTACTGGGGGAAAAAAAAAAGAAAATCCATCTAAACACAGGTCACAGTAAACAGTAGTGGGTTGTGTTTCTTTAAAAGTATGCTGATTGTGACCTCAATTACGGCCATTGTTAATAGTAGCTTGAAAACATTGGTTAAAAAGAATTATCTACAGTTAGAAAAGGAAAGGACTGGTCAGAGGAATTTATGGCAAATGGTTTCCACCTTTTGTTTTTCTAATATAGCAATAACAGCTCTCAGGTTTAGTGTGAAACTTAGCAGGTTATAGAATCTTCTGTACTTCAAATGCTAAGTTTTTCTGAAGCAATAATTCTCATGTTTAAAATCAGGGGAATGGGGCCATGGGGACAGCTCGGTGGGATAAATGCTTGCCTGGCAAGCACAAGGTCCTGAGTTTGATCCCTGTTAGCACAAAAAGAAATTAAAATCAGGACTTGTTAGAGAAATGAAGTAACAAAGATAGGCAGCATATGACCTTTCTGAGGAGTCTTGCAGCATAGGCAGGCTGCCGCTTGGGTAAAGCAAGATTAAGCAAGACAGAGAATGAGTTGGAGGTCTAAGTGTGAGAGGACTGAGGCAGGGCTGCGT